CTAGAAGTGCTTGAGGGTAGGCTTGAGGCTAGGCTGGACAGGGATTGGAGCAACCTGGTGTAGTGCAAGGTGTCCCTCTTCCTGGCAGGGGGTGGAACGAGATGGGATTGAAGGTCCCTTCCAGCCCATGACTCCCATGATTTGTTACTCTCTGTGGAGCCTGGCTGTCCCAGCACATAGCGATCCCTGGATCCCATGTCCAAAGTCAGTGCCCAGAGAATAGACTTCAGGTATCCCAGAAGGAGTTAATGGTGGATTTGGATTTGTAGCTGGATAAGGCAGATGGTTGCAAGCAGCTTAATATGGACTTAAAAGCTCCCGTGAGCCGGTGGGCAAAGCCAGGGATCTTCTCCTTTGCAGGCTCCAACACGTATGAGGAGGCAGCTGCCTACATCCAGTGCCAGTTTGAAGATCTGAACCGGAGGAAGGACACCAAGGAGATCTACACCCACTTCACCTGCGCCACCGACACCAAGAACGTCCAGTTCGTCTTCGACGCCGTCACCGACGTCATCATCAAGAACAACCTCAAGGAGTGTGGGCTCTACTGAGAGGTAAATGCAGCTCCGGGCGTCCCGCTGGGAACAGCTCTCCCTGCTCCCTTCTACATTCCTGGTTTCCTTCCCAGTGTTTCTGCCTGGTGAGCCCCGGCCTCTTGCTGCCTCGTGGGGACAGCGACGAGCATGAGCCAGGAGCAGAGAACATGTGGAATCCTGGAATTCTTTAGCACAATCTTCTGTCTTAGGGACCTTTTATTGCTGTGGGATGTGGAATTAGGGCACAGTGAAGCCACGTAGTGGGAGTAGATCCTCCTGGCATCGTTGGACGGCGTGATCTCCGGGATGTGCCGTGGATTCCAGCTGGATTCCAGACCTTGGATATGTAGCTTTCTCTCTTCCTTTGGTTAACAAGCCACCACTAGTCTGTTTTTAAGGTTATTTTTTTTTTTTCCATCGAGAAAACTATAACTTTACTAAACTTTATTTCTTTATTTGCAAACCTTGTTTTAAAAATAATAATAATTAAAAAAAGCAACAAAAAAAAAAATATCACTTAACTATGCACATGTGAGCAGATCCTGCAGAAAATATTCCTCTTAGCAGGAATTCCTTGTTTTTAACACTTGCTATGGCCAGGATTTAATATTTCTGCAGCTACTAAGGGATCCTTAGAGCTTTGGCTTTTTTTCCATGTGTGATTTGTTACCATTCTGCTCCCCCCAGGCTTTGGGAAAGGCTCCTGCAGCAGAAGGAGGGTTTAGGTTCTGTTGGGGGTTTCAGCCCAGTTTTGTGCCAGTATGGGAAGGGATTTGTGCTCAGCGTAATCCTAGCTCCGTGGGGAGAGGAGCTGAGCCCTCACTGGGGGGAAGACTGCTGCTTCCCAGCTCCCAAACCACTGATTCCTGTGCATTTTTTGGGATGAGAACGGTGCATTATTCTGTGCTGCCTTTCCCATGGCCCTCCCTGCCCAGCCCTGTCTTGAGCATGCCTTTACTTTGTCTGTGTGGTGCCAAATCCCCGTTTCCCTCTAGTGCCATCCCTAACCAGTCCTACATTCCTTTGCTGATCCATGATTGCATCCAGACTCCTCCCAGTTTGTCATGTGTACAGTTGGATCTGTTAGACTTGTTGGCAGTATTAAAATGGTGAGTAAAATTGTAGCCTTTTCTCCACTTTATTCTTCCCTTTTCCAGGAGTGTTCCCAGCTTTTCTGCTTTGCTGGAGAAGGAAAGGAAGAGCTTTGATGGGACCTGGGTGGAATTATCTGGACAGGGAGGTTCCTTGTGCTTTATCACTCACCACTGGTGGTGTTGTTCTGCTCCCAAAGAGTCGAGTTGTGCTGGCACAGTTGGAACATGCCAGGAATCCCATTGCCCATGGGATTATTGGCAGATGGATAATTACTGTTCATTTGTAGCCCAAATCTTACTGGCTGCTGTGACCCCCTTGGGAATTCTGCTCTGGGCACTTCTGCAGGATGGAAATGGGACTGTTCTCAGAACACTTGCTTAGAAATCCAGGATAAATTCCTCAGGGAGGCTGGTGTGTGCTGGCAGGGGGAGCCCTGAGGGAGATTCCCTGTTCTGGAATCTTTTCCAAGCTGTCTGGAGCTGTGTCTGTTTGACAATTCCCTTCCAGCTATCCTACATGGGATAACTCATCCTTTAAAATCATCCAGGAGCTTCATCTCATCCAGGGGTACTAGCCAGGAAGTTTTTGGCATGGTGACCCCCATCCCACCCCCCAGGAGCCCAGCAGTGGCCATGGGGTGATCCAGGTGAGATCCAGAGATCCACACACCCCAGAATGGATGCAAAGCAGGTGAAATATCCCTTGGTCCAAGTTCTGGGACACAGGAATGGAGCAAAGTGGAAGTGGGAGAAAGGAAGAACATCCACATCATGCATATTCCTTTATTGTGTTTTCCTACAGTTAAATGAAGCTGGATGGGAGATCTCTGCAGGAAACAGGGAGAGGATGGATACAGGGCTCATCTATGGATTATTTACAAACAGACAGAGCAAATGCAGCTCTAAGTAGCAGAATGAAAATCTTTCAAGTAACCATTTCCTCTTTATCCAGCCTGTTGCTGGGCTGGAGTTGGGATTCCCTTCCCCAGCCCCTCCTGCCTGAGAAATTTCCTCCATTTAGGGCCCAAAACAACCCCACAAACCCCTGATTTGTCCTGCCCAAGGGCTGAGGTTGGTTCCCAGGAAAGACTGAGGGACTGAGGTTGGCTCCCAGGAAAGACTGAGGGACTGAGGTTGGCTCTCAGGAGGACTTGGGGGTAACACAGTCTCCACCTTTCCCAGAAATTCCATCCAGGATTAATCCACCTTCAATCAAGGGCAGGAATGGGCTGCAGAGGGATGGGCAAGGGGGCCATGTCTATCCTACCTCCCAAATTCCCTCAGCATTCCCATTCCTGCTGTGCTCTCTGGTGTCAAACCTCCTGTAAAACACTGAGAACAGGGGTTCTTCCTTGGAAAAAAAAAAAGAGGAAATGGCCATGAAAGGGAGCAGGAAGTTGAGCTTCAGCCCCTTCCAGGTTTGGGTTTGGAAGGAGGAGGATTTGGGCAGGTCATAGAAAAAGTGGGAGCGAGTGACGTGTGGTGAGGGTTGGTTCTTCCTTTGGCTCTGCTCAGCAGAACAGTGAGATGGGAATGTTTTCTTCTTCTGGGAGGGAGGGAGAGAGAACAGAGAGTTAAACACACCCAGGAAAGGGCTTAGAGGAGCAATTTTATGGAAACAAGGGAAAAACTCAGGTGAGGTTCAGGGACATGTGTCACTTCATCCCTTTGCCTTCCTCTGTGGTGATGAGGATGGAGCATTCCCTCCCTCCCCACCTTCCAAGTGTCACCTTCTGGTGCCTCCTGCCTTCAGGGAACCTGCTTGAGGTTTTTTTTTTTTTTTATTGCTTTGGTTTCTTTTCGTAGCTTTTTCCTGCTTTTTTGTTAATATTTAAGGATAAGGGAAGCACCAGAGGTTCCCTGAAAAGCAAAGTGCCAGAGCCAGTGGCTGGGAGCTGCTTAGAAAGAGGGGAGAGAGGATGGAATTCCTGCTGCTGCTCAGAATTAGTGCAAGATTTAGGATGATAAACCCTAATTAGGGTGATAAACCCTAATTAAAGTTTTAGGATGAGCTAAAAGGCTGGGAGCAGCAGAGATATGTGCCTTGGGATATTCCCATCCACTGAGGCTGGGCTGGAATCACAACAGGAGAGCAATAAAATTATTCCCTTTAGCTCAGGTGGAAGATTTGGGAATCTGTTTTCATCACTCCATGTGCAAGGGTAGGAATTGTCTGTCTGAGCCCACCCCACTGTGGGATGGGACTGAATCCCATGGGAGCTCAGCACAGGGATGTGACCATGTCCTGGGCTAATGGGACCCCAGATTTCCCCCTCCCCACTGCTCCCACTCCATCCTCCCCTACTCCTAGGATTTCCAGGACTTGATGGGCAAAACCAGGGGGACCTACATCCCACCACCCCACAAAGCAGGATGGAGCCAGCTCTGATCATCCTTATCCCCCTCCCAGCCCTTTTCTGGGGGATGGAGCCAGCTCTGATCATCCTCATCCCCAGCTCTTCTTTTTGGGATGATGCTGACTCTGCTCATCCTTATTTCCAGCCCCTTCTGCAGCCTTTTACTGGGCGGGATGGAGCTGGCTCTGCTTTTCTTCATCCCCTTCTCTTTTCCCCAGCCCTTTTTTGGGGATTGAGCTGGTTCTGATCTGCATCCCCTACTCCAGCCCTTTTTTGGGGATTGAGCTGGTTCTGATCTGCATCCCCTACTCCAGCCCTTACTTTTGGGGATGGAGCTGGTTCTGATGATCCCCCTCCTTTTCCTTCTTCCCCAGCCCTTTTTGGGGGATGGAGCCAACTCTGCTCTTTCTCATCCCTGTCCTTCTTTCCCAGCCCTTTATGGGAGGGATCCAGGTTTGATCATTTTCAAATCCCTCCCCTTCCCCAGCTTTTTTTTTTTTTTTTTTTGTGATGGAGCCAACTCTGCTTTTCCTTCTCCCCTTCCCGAGCTTTTTCTGGAATGGAAACAACTCTGATCAGCCTTACCCCTTCCCCAGCCCTTTTTCTGGGATGGGTCTGGCTCTGCTCTTCCTCACCTCCCTCTCCTTCCCCAGTCTTTTCTGGGATGGAGCCAACTCTGGTCATTCTCATCCCCATCCCCTTCCCCAGCCCTTTTTTCAGAGATCCAGCTCTGATCATCTTTATCCTCCTCTCCTTTCCCAGCCCTTTTTGGGATGGAGCCAATAGTGATCATCCTCTTCTTCATGCCCCTTCCCTTTCCCAGCCCTTTTTGGGATGGAGCTGGCTCTGCTCATCCTCCTCCCCTTCCCCAGCTCTTTTTCTAGGGTGGAGCCAGCTCTGCTCTACCTCATCCCCTTCCCCAGCCTTTTTTGGGATGGATCCAGCTCTCGCCACCCTCCTGCCCTCTCCTGTCCCTATTTTCTGGCCCCAGCCTCTCCCATACCTGCTGGTGCTCAGAAGAGGCCGCAGTCCTTGAGGTTCTCTTTGATGATCACGTCTGTGACGGCGTCGAAGACGAACTTGACGTTCTGTGTGTCTGTGGCACAGGTCATGTGGCTGTAGATCTCCTTCACGTCCTTCCGCATGTTGAGATCCAGGAACTGGGTCTTGATGTAATTCCCTGCGTCCTCAAATGTGTTTGGACCTGCAGAGGGGGGGAATGCTTCCAAGCTGCTCCCATGGGGGTGGGTGTTGGAGGAAAAGGGTGGAGTGCTGACCATGTGTGTAGCACAGAACTCCTTTTTACCCCATTTCTGTTCCTCCAAACACCTTCCTGAGGCCACATCCATCCTCTCCTCAGCTCCAGCCTCCCAGGATTTGACTCACCACCTCACAGAGCAGGATGGAGCTGCTTCTGCTCATCCTCATCCCCTTCCCCAGCCTTTTTTTGGGATAGAGCCAGTTCTCATCATCCTCATCTCCCTTCCCCAGCCCTATCACAACATATCCCAAAACAGAGTTGCTGCATCTTTGCTGGGACCACACAACTCCCCAGCCCCTGGTTTGGGGGGTCTCAAGGAGGAGGGGTAAGGCTGGGAAGGGTCTGGACTCACCATCATACTCTGGGAAGCAGATGCTGAGATGGACTTTCTTGATCTTTTCCTCAAAAGGGACAAGGATGAGGGACACACACACCTGCTCCTGACACCCCCCATGCGATGGTTCTGGTGCCACATCCTTGGGGGACAGGAATCACTGTCTCTGGGAGGGTATTGGTGCTCCCTCGAGTGTCAGGGTCATCCCAAAATCCATCCCCACCATCAGGGCTGCGGGGAATCATGGAGGAGTGATCATGGAGGTGGGGGAGGCTCCTACCCACCTGAAATTCAGGTCTTTGACAGAGAACTTGGTCTCGATGATCCCTGTGGTCTTCACTCGGGATCGCAACACATCCTGCTCGTTGGGGAGGTAGTTGGGGGCTGTGATCCTGTCCAGCTGGTTCAGGTAACTGGGGGAACAGGAAGGGATGTGACCTGCTGCCCATGTTTCACCCTTTTTGGGGATGGTTGTGGGACTGAGCTCTGCCTTGGGACTCCAGGGCAGTGACATCCCTGGGGAGCTCAGGGACATCAGGGGTGGTGGGGCTGCAGGTCAGCGGCACTTTTGGGATGGGGATGGCACTGGTGGGATGGACAATGACACCAGTGAGATGGAGGATGTAGGACAGCTCTGATGGATTGAGGATGGCAGTTCTGGGATGGGGGATAGCACTGATGGGATGGGGAAGGGCACTGGTAGGATGGGGGGATGACACTGGTGGGATGGAGAACAGTACTGGTGGGATTGGGGAATGGTACTGGTGGGATGGATGGGTGACACGAGTGGGATGGAGGATGACACTGGTGGGATGAAGAATGGCAGATTCTGGGTACTCCCAGGAGCAGGGAGGAGATGGATTTTGCCAGGCTGGGTTGGAGCTGGCCATGAGCTGTCAGGGGGTCCCCAGGCCGGTCCCTGTTGTGCCCGCCGCGTCCCCACTCACTACGCGGCTGAGTCGTTGAGCTGATACTCGGCAGCACGGTCAAAACACGCCTGAACCCCCCCGTCCTTCCACAGCTTCTTGATGCAGGCCACCAGCTCGGGGGGCATCGTGCCCTCCTCGATGGAGTCAGCCAGGTTGAAGAGCAGCCGGCCTTCATCCTGCGAGAGGGACCTTCGTCACCAACCCTCCCGTGGCCCCTGTCCCCCGCAAAGTGTCCTCAGGACTGGGGGAACAACATGGGGCTGCTGTGGACCCTGGTTCTGGGGGCTGCCCTGGCCCCACGTCATGGGGTTTGGGGGGACAGGGACACCACCCGGACTGACCGCGCAGGAGGACTCGGCATAGTCAATGCCCAGCGTAGACATGGCGCGGATGATGGCCAGGATGGACTGCAGGATGTTCCCGTAGATAATGGACTTGAACTCCATGCACTCCTCCTCCGTGTAACCGTCCTGGTGGATGATCCTGGCAGGCACAGTGGCCTCAGCGCCAAGCCAGGACATCCCCTCTGGGGTGGGAATCACCACCCCACATTGGGAATCACAGGTGCCACCACCAGGTGACATGGGGGGGTGACTGGGGATCCAGCCACCCCATGTCCAAGAGCTGGTGGCTCATGCTTGTGGCCTCCCCCTCCCCAGTCTGACTCAGGCCATACTCACTTCATCTGCTTCACGATGGTGCTCTTCCCTGACTCTCCAGCCCCTGGAAAAGGGTGGGAGGGACGCCTTAGTGCCCATCAGGGCCTGTTGCCACAGTGATGGGCCCCCCATGGGGACCAAAGCCACTGTCCCACACCATCCCCTGCCTAGACACCCAGCCTGGCCTTTTCCCACCACAGCCATCGTCCCCACACTCCTGTCACCCCTTGCACCCTGTGTGGGACTACAGCTCGAGGACCCCGAGGGTGGTGGGAACCCCCTGGGCGCAGATCCCCCAGGTCCCACACGTCCCGCCCACCGTGGGCAGTGGCCGGCGATGCCTTTGGGGCTGTAAGCAGCTTAGGGCAGCACAGGAAGCTGATTAGAATTAGGGTGTTAATCGCCTTGACCCCAGCCCCCCCACCTGGATAAGGCCCCAGTGCTGGCCCCTGCCCCATGGAGTCACCCCCTGCCCTAGGAGTCACGTCCTAGTCCCGTGGGGTGCAGAGGGACCCCCAAGGAACCATCTCCTCCTCCTGCCTGGCACACACCAGCAGGTTTTGGGGTGCTGGTGGCAGAAGGTCCCCAGGTTCTCGCTGGGGATGTGTCCTGGGTCCCACCAAGGTGTGGCGCATCCTCGTTGGGACCCAGGGTCTTGGCCCCTTCCCCATCCCCCCACTGTCCCCTACATGCCTGCCGTCCCCCAGAGCCCATGCCACACCCAGCCCTTGCCAGGGATAACGTCCTGGTGGCAGGACAGCCTCTCCAGGCTGATGGTGGCTTGTCCAAGGGCTACCAGAGCCAGGCTAGGAGGAGCCCAGGGGGTCATGGGTTCCCTGTCCCCCTGCCCATCCCCACATCCCCTCAGCCTCAACGGAGTGGAAACAGGGACCTGTCCAGGGGACATCCCCTCCAGCCTTACCAAGCAGCAGCAACTTGACTGTCTTGGCCTCCTTATCCGCATCCTCCTGGAGCTTCTTCTCCAGCTCCTTGGACCTCTTGGCCATCTCCTTGTCCTCGGCACTGGCCCCGCTCCCCATGGCTGCGTCCTCCTCCTCCTCCAATAACTCCACAAGCTCCTCTAGGTCCCCAGGCTTTTCCAGCTCTTCAAGGAGATAGCACGCACACCTCGGGAACGAGGTGGGCACTGGGAGATGAACCAGAAATTCAAAAAAAGGCGAGCCAGGTACCCCACACCCTGATGTTGGGGTGCCCCAAGCTAGCAGCACTCTTCGGTGGGTCCTCGCTGCTGGCTGCCCCCCGCTCTCTCCCTTAATTCCCCATGGATAACCTGATTTTTTTTGACTGTGGGATTTGGGGACTTTTTATCTTGCCATGTGACCCAGGAAATCCAATTAGCCCAAGATGGCAAAGATTAGGGCTCAGGGAGAAAAAAAAAAGACGGAGCATCTCAGGGAGGTGGGCAGGGGGCTTTACATAAGGGGGGCATCAGCGTGACACCCCCTGCCCGCGGTGTCTTGGGAAGTGAGGATCATTTTGGGGGTCCCTCCTGTCTGTGGGATGTGACCCCACTTTTGGGGGGCATTGAGGAGGGGATCAGCCCCTGCCTGCGTGCGTCCCCCACCCCTGGGTGCTCCAGAGCAGTGGCAGCTGACTGCGTGGTGACAGGGGGACAGGGTGGTGGCAGGGGGGTGATGGCGGGGGACTGTGGCACTGGGGGATTCCTCCTGCAGGGAAAAGGGAGCTAATTACCCCGGGGTGGGTAACGAGGCCCCCTAATCCTGCCCCGCTGGGTGCCGCCCTCCCGCTGCCTAAGCTCTTTAATGGGATCGTGGCTCAGCCTTCCTCCTCCTCCTCCTCTTCCCGGGCTCAGCACCCCCCTCGCAGCCCATCCCCCAGCCCAGCAGGTCCCCCCAAACCCTGGGGGACAGGTGGGTGCCTCCCCCTTTCTCCTGCGAGGCTGGCTTTAGGTGGGCACCGCAGGGGGAGACCCCGCCCCGGGGTGGGCTTTGGGACCCCCACAAGTCCTGCAGGTCCCCGATGTTTGGGTTTAAGGTGTCCTAAATCCCTGCACTTCACAGGGCCACTGGGGGCTCCATGTCCCCGCACCGGTGTCCCCGCGTCCCACCGGGCGCATATTCGCTGCCAGCGCCGTTGCTTGGGGACACTCTGTTCCCGCTGTCCCCGCGGACACAAAGCCCTTTCTGAGCCTCTAATGAACTCGGCGCTAATGAGGGGGGTCCAATTAAAATACCAGACACCACCCCCCCTCCCCGCGGTGCGCGGACAGTGCTGGGCAGGGGACATGACTCAGGCTGGGGGTCCCCACTGTCCCCCGTGGCTGTTGTGCCCTCCCAGCCCGGCACAGCGGTGGCCCTGGTGGGTGGTGTCACCTCGCTGTCTCCTCACCCCCTCGACAAGGGGTGGGGGGCACAGAGGGGGGTGGGTGACATTCCCTCCGCTCTAACAGCGGCTAAAAATACCCCCCCGCGCCGCTGGCAGCTTAGGGGACACTCGGGGCGCTCGGAGGGGACACAGCCCGACAGCCACCCGGAGCCACCCCGGCACCGGGAGCCCCGGCCCAGGTAGGGACACGCGGGGACCGAGGCAAGGGGCACAGGTGACACCCCTGTGAGCTGGGGGACTTGGGGGGGCATCCTTGGGGACATTCCTTGGGGGGGCTCAGGGCAGCCCCAGCAGGGTGTGAGCAGGGGCGTGCTGCAGAGTGCCAGTCCTTCTTTTGGGGTGCGGTACGTATCTGGGCTGGGGGTGTGGATGGAGGCGATGCCCCGTTTTGGGGGGTACTGGCTGATTTGGGAGGTGCCCGGTGCCTTTGGGGGTACAGTGTTTAACGGGGGGGTGGTGACTGTCTGTGTTGGGGTGCCCATCCCGGGGGTGACGGTGCCCGTTGGGGGGGCACACGGATTCCCACTGGGATGGGGCAGTCTCTGGATGGGGAAGAACAACACCCTGTCTTTTTGGGGAGCAATGCCTGTCGGGGGGTGGGCAGTGTCCATACTGGGGGGGCATAACGTCCACCTCGGGGGGAGGGGGGTTACTCTATTTTGGAAGCATCGCTGTCACTTTGGGGGGATCCAGTCCCATCTCTCGCGGGGGTACGATGCCCGCTCGGGGGGAACGTTAGGGCTGAACCGGGGGGTAACGACTGTCCCCGAGGAGGGGCTTGGGGGTGTCCCGGGGGTCCCACAGAGGTACAGAGCCGGCGGGAGTGGCTGTCCCGGCTGTCCCGGGGAACGCAGGGCTGTCCGGCCCGGGGGGTTACACGTCTGTCCCGGTGTGTCACAGCTGACCCCACAGGGGCACAGGGCGCTCCTCCGGGGGTGTCACGTTTGTCCGGGGGGGTACAGGGCTGTCCGTGAGGGGGGTCACGGCTGGCCCGGGGCTGTCACAGCCCCGCTCCCCCGCAGCTCACAGCTCCATCCCGGGTCTTGCTCCCCCCCACCCTCCAGCGCCGCAGCCACCTCCTTCCTCCTCCTCCTCCTCCTCGCCACATCCTCCGCCCGCCCCATCCTCTTCCTCGTGCCGGTTTCCGGCCGGGCCCCGCCGGGGACTTTGGTCCATTCCCGGGTTCCTGCATCAATCATCAACCAGGGGAGGGAGCGGCCGCTGCGGCCCCGCCGCCGTAAGAGTCCCCCGGGCGCCCCCCGTCACCCCCCGCCCCCATCACCATCATCACCATCATCACCACCATCACCGCCAGCATCAGCCCCTCCGCTCCTCCCCGGCCCCCCTGGAGCCGCCATGTCCTCTGCCCCCCCGGCCAAGTGTTCCTTCAAGAATCCTCTGCCCCCCCGGCCAAGTGGTCCTTCAAGAAGCGGGGTAGCCTGCAGACCCCCAGCCCCGCAGGTGAGACCCCCCCCCCAATACCCCCCACCCCCCGAGGGGACAGCCACGGGGACAGCCAGGCCACCCCAGCGCGGGGGGCGCGATGCTGCGAGGAGGGGGGATCACTTTGGTGAGAGCGGAGGAAGAGGAGGGGGAGGAGGAAGAGGGGGAGCGCTGGGATGCGGGGCGGGGGGGCGGACCCGGTTTAGGGGGGGCTCCGCGGGGGAGACCTCGGGCACGTGGGGGGCTGCTGGCACGGGGTGGCGGTGGCACTGGGTGGGCGAGGTGGCGCTTTGTGGTTGGCACCCGGCTGGCACTGTTGAGAGAGGGTCTCAGGGTGTCACTGGGGCTGTTCCCACACGTGGGTGGCACACGTGTGTTCTGGGTGGATGGCAAATGGTGCTGACACAGGGTGAGTGTGGTGACATCACCGGGGTGAGGTGGCACTTCGGGGTTGTCACCTGGCTGGTATTTCTGGGGGGTCCAGGGGCATTACGGGGGCTGCCCCTGGCTCTTGTGACCCACATTTGTCCTGGGTGGGTGGCACAGGGTGTCCTGCATGGTGGTACGAGGTGGGCGAGGTGGCGCCTTGGGGTTGTCATCTGTCTGGCACCCGCGTTGGGGGGGATCTCGGAGTGCCACCAGGGCCACCACCTGTCACACGTGGGCAGCACAGGATATATCCCGGGGGCACAGGGCACCCTGGGTCTCACTGTGCCCCAGATGAGACACCACCAGCACATCAGATGACACCAGTGCCATCCCTGCCCGGGGTGACACAGCCCAGCCCCCCCATTCCCACTGGGGTGATGCAGGGAGCAAATGGGGTTCCTGGAAGCTCCTGTTTGAGGGTCAGGGGACCTGGATCTTCCCCCAGGCTGTGCTGGGTGGAGGGGCTCTTACTGGTGGACCCAGTTTAACCAGTTGGACCCGATTTCCAGTGCCCCCCGGCAGGTGTGTGGTGGGTTGGGGGGTGCAGAGGAGGGTGTTGGCATTGGGGTGGCACTGGGCATCCCCCAGCCCCATGGCCCCAGTGCTGGTGGGAGCAGGGGGTGTGGGGCAATGGGGTGGGTTTGGAGGCCTGCCCCCAGTGTGGGGGTGTGCCCCGCTGTGCTGGGAAGGATGGGATGGGGGGGCAGTGAGGCAGCACTGGCAGGGACCCCAGAGTTGTGGCCCCCATGCCATGGGGGTCTTGCAGCCCAGCCCTGAGCCCCTCAGTCACTGTTGGCTTCTACAGCCCCCAGTGGAGCCAGCAGCCCTCCCAGTGCCCCAGGGGGATTAGAGAGGGGTGGCCCTCTTGCCCTTCAGCTGCCTCGGTTTCCCTATCATCCCCATTGGGAAGAGCATTCCAGTTCCATGGTGGGGGGGGGCTGTGGAGGGGCCAATTAACCCCTTCCTGCCCAGGTGGGGGTCCAGACCCCCCAGCTGAGGTTGTCCCACTCCCTGCAGAGCTGCGGGGGGGGCCAGGGGCCCGACCCCTGCAGTCAGCCTGGTCCCTGCCCGGAACCCCCCATAGCCTGAAGCATTTCCCAGTGGATCTGCGCACGTCCATGGATGGCAAATACAAGGAGATTGCTGAGGTGGGTCTGGGGCACAGAGTTTGGCAGGCCTAGGAGGGTGAGCATGTGTTGGGGGAGTGGGGGGGTCTCCCCTCGATCTTTCCTCCCCTCCTATCCTCCCCAAACCCTCCTCCCTTCCCAGTTCTTCAGCTCTGAGTGTGGGAACCCCTGTGAGCCTTTCTCTGCCAAGCCAGGGGTTGAGGTTCATGGCAGGGCTGAGGCTGCACCCAGGTCTGCTCTGGGTACAACTCATGGCAGGGCTGCTCTGGGCACAGCTCATGGCAGGGCTGCTCTGGGCACAGCTCAGGGTACTCTGGGCACAGCACAGGGCTGCTCTGGGCACAGCTCAGGGCTGCTCTGGGTACAACTCATCGCAGGTCTGCTCTGGGTACAGCTCAGGGTGTTCTGGGCACAGCTCAGAGTACTCTGAGCACAGCTCATGGCAGGGCTGCTCTGGGCACAGATCAGGGCTGCTCTGGACACAGCTCATGGCAGGACTGCTTTGGGCACAGCTCAGGGTGTTCTGGGCACAGCTCAGGGTACTCTGGGCACAGCTCATGTCAGGACTGCTTTGGGCACAGCTCATGGCAGGGCTGCTCTGGGCACAGCTCAGGGTGCTCTGGGCACAGCTCAGGGTGCTCTGGGCTCAGCTCAGGGCTGCTCTGGGTACAGCT